TGGTAACATCAAGCGTGAGCAGAGAAAATCATCTTAGGTTGAAATCACATCAAACATGTTTTGAACAATGTCAAACATGAGGAAAGAGAATTGTCTCTGTCTAAATCTATATCGGACACTAGTGAAGTGGTGTCAAGCGTGAGACAAGTAGAGTCTATCTGCTGATTAGGGTTGGGTGTGGGTTATTATCACGCTAGGCGTGAGAGTAAGAGGTTTTATGCCTTAGTCACGTTGGGCATAGGTAATTTGGCATCGAGCGTGGACAAGACAGGGGGGACCTTTCTGCCTCAATGGCGGTAGCATCCACGGGATGGTGCCAAACACGAATTGCTTGTTATTAAAATGATATCTTTATGATGAGAATCATGATTAATTGTATGATAAAGATGTCATAATTAGGATCTATTATGATGAAAATTGATATGTTGTGGGATGATGTTTATAATGTAAAGTTGCAAGTTGATAAATGATGTGGTTGTATGAGTTGTATGATGCTATAGTTGATTTAAATTGTTAAGCTAATAGACATGTGGTGTAGATACATGTCTTTGTTGAGATATATAAAAAGTAGAGAAGAATAAAAGATGTTTTATAAATTAAAATATTTCATTGTGTGGATATGCATTTCGATGCTCCGAGAGCTCAAGTTAAAACCCTTCAGTAAGTAAGCTAGCTTCTGAATGGATAGTTGTTTTAAGATTTCTCCTCTAGATTTTGTGTGGTATCCATATGTCAGCAAGGTCCAAACATGTGTACAAAGCGAACAATCGAGTAAAATATAACGTCGAGGACTTAATATTTAACCAAGTATTGGAAGGACATAATATTTGAAAGATAGTCAGTGGGTTAATCTCATAGGAGGCTTAGTATTCAAAACTAATGTTATAGTAGACTCATACCCAAATTATTCAATCCTGACAATAACACTAGACTTCCTAATTTAAGTGATAAAATATGAGAAATCAAATTAAGTTGTTAAACAGGCTCTCTATGAGACTTGAAATTGTCTATACCTGGCCTGGTTGTGGTAGGTTAAATGCTATGATTTGGTAGAATCTAAGTACTTAAACTACTCACCTCTATTGTATGAGACCTCTTTGGTTGATATGTGTAATGATGCATTAGTTGTTTATTATTGCTTATGTTGAATTTTCTAAGATGAAGTTGATGAGTTGTATTATGTTGTAAGTCTTTTGTGTTGTGCTTGATGATGAATTGAAGTTGCATAATGAAATGATTGTTGTTTAATTTATTTAAGTTATTACTTAATGTATTGTTGTTTGTTGATTCTTTTCACAAACTTACCCTTATTTTCCTTGTGTTAAAACTACAACGATCATACTTGATATGAAAGTAGGACATGATTAATTTGATGGTGTGGTTGGCTAGATGGTGAGTCATGTTGGTGGTAGCTTATTTTGTTGAAACTACTCAATTATAGTTAGGTCTTATATAGTTATTTGACCGATAAGTAAAGTTTTTTATAGTATATCTTGTATGTAGATTGTATATGTGTATAAGTTATGTTTTATTTATTTGTTATCTACCTTATACACATATCAATGTATGTGATAATCTCAAATTAGTTGAATGTTGTTATTTTCTTTCTACTATGTTGAGATTGAATTATAATAAATGTTGGACCTGTTAGATCATTATATCATGAATTAGAGGTTGTAATCTAAATCACATTAATAATTATTAAGACAACTCTATCGATGTATATTATTTATAGCTTCTTTTAATTATAAAAAAAAAGTGCTCAAAATAAAATGTAACATTTTTGTTAAGTTGTTTACATTTTTTAGTGGAAAACATTAACATTTTGTTTATCACATTCTTTTACGCTATTCTTCTTCAATTTTTTAACTTTTTACACTTTTTCTATCTCCTTTTCATATACACGTAAATAAGCTGGATCAAGATTCAATAACAATTAATTTTGTTATAAAATACATCCACCAATTTTTAAAATAAAAAATAAATAAATAATTTATGAAAACTAATAAAAATATTTAAAATTGTTAATTTTTATTAATAATATCAAATAATTAAATCTTATTTCAAAAACACCTTTTCAATGTTGATTTAATTAAATCGTGGTCGTATTAAATGATGTTTAACTTAATTAAAGAAGATAATTTTTTTCATTAATATATAAGTGTAACTTGTATTGTTAATATTTAATAGATCAATAAATGTATTTGTTTACATAGGAGTGTAAAATAAAATTCACAATTAATTAATATATGTTAAAGGAAGTATTTATTTCTTATAATTAAGAAAAAAAATATATACTTATTTGTTTTTTTATACAAATACAAAAGACCGGAGAGAATATGTTTAGAAAAAAAAAATTATGGCCTCTCAAAATAAAACATTATACTCTTTAATATTTAATTTTTGTGAAATTAATTAGAATATACTAATTGTATTCTCCGTTAGACCACTAGGGTTAACCTAATGGTTGTGTGGAGAGAGGTTTGGGTAGTTAGAAGTATGAGGACTAAGTTTAATCTTCATTGCGACTATCTTTATAATCTTTCCTATCTTTATCAAAAAAAATTGTATTTCTCCGTTAACAGAAACCACTAACACAAAATGCATTACAGGTTCAAAGTTGGTACCACAACAAGATCGTGCTCTCCATTAACATGACATAATCTTGAGATCTCATCTTTTTTCTTTTTGGTTTGTTGTCAGTGCATTGAGTTTGTGAAGAACATTGTGTTTGTGGCATTTTTTTAATGGGGTTCTGAATCCAGATTTTGATACACTTGATTATTACACTCATTATATTTAACTTTAAGAGGCTAAAAAAAAAAAGTTTCAGATTTCGAATTTCAAAATTTATTGTATTTATTATATTTAATTACACTTATAAGGCGGCCATTGAAAAACTGTTTTGATATCGACAAAATTGAAACTTAAATTCTTTTAATTATGATATTGATAGGTAGGTAACTGTGGACAAACATGAAATATCGTATTATATAGTTGTCAAACTTTAGACCTCCCTAAAAATGTCTCAAAACTAGGGTTAATTTTGTTAATAAGTCTACTCAAAATAGAAATAAAAATCACAAAACACTCGATTACATTTAATATGATTATATAAAGTTAATTTTTGAATAGTTTTTCTCTTGAAATATTAGTTTATGCAGTAATTCTCCACGCGTGTCTATGTTAATACTATTAGTATGTTATTAACGTTTTGTATTGAAAGTCTCTTTTCATTCTATTTTTTTTTTTACCAATAATAATTATTATTATTATTGTTTGCATAATTTATGTGAGTTATTGTTTCTCAACTTTTTATTTACAATTTCTCTCATGTAGACATTAATTAACTAATTAATTTCAAATTTTAAATATTTTTTATTTCAAATATTTTATTAGTTAAAGAAGTATAGCAACAAGTTTTTTTATGTAAAAAAAAACATGTTTTTTTTCATAATTAGCACAGGTATATCAGTATAAACGAGTTTTAATAAAAACAGCAAATGAGTCAGGGAATCTCCAATGGAAACAACTCATTTAAGTTGTTTCATGCATTGAAAAATGAAAAAGGTGGTCTCCAGTGTGCTATGTCAGCATTAAGCAACTCAAATACAAATTTACTCCAATGGTAAGAAACTTTAAGAAATTCAAATTTTAGATTTTTTTTCTAATCATTTATGAACCAAATTTAATTTTTTTTAAAAAAGGATAATTGTACTACAATGAAAGAAAATAAATTACGAGAAAAAATACACAATAAGTAGATATTAAAAATAAAATAAAGCAATAGTAAATCCATAAACATTATACGAAATTAATTTTCATAATTATTATTTTTGAAACGTTCCCAAATATGTTCAATAAGATCTGCTTGAAATCTGGTAAGGAATGATTGCTTGAGGAAGTAAGTCTCTCTCTTCTTCAAACAACTCATGTTGTCAGAGTCCTCCAATAACAAGAAACGGGAACTTGAGTTGCTTCATGGGACAAACAACTTCCATTAGAGTTGCTCTCATTATCAATCTTCAATTGACCACCCTCTGAATAATGATTTTTATCATTTTCTTTAAATGTAAATGACTATCAAATTAGATTATTTAAAAATAATAATAAAATATAACTCAAAAAGAACATTTGTTTTACCCTTTGGAAGAGACGAAAGGAAGTAAGGAGAGACAGAGAAAAAGATAAAGTGTATTTTTTAAAAATATTTTTCATTTTTTCTATTTTTCAACTAATTAATATATATATATGACTTGTAATTTCTCCCTTTTTACTTTTTCACTCTAATGCAAACATATCATCAAATAAACTACTTATAATGCATAAAAAAATAAACTGTTGATATGTTTTAAAAATGAATCACTAATTTAGTCGAAAAAGTGATTGTTAAACAAATTCGAACTTAAAATAAACAAATGACAAAATAATTTATAAAATTGTACATCATTAATCAATTTAGCCTTTACTATTGTAACGAAAGGTCGAAATGGTCAATGAAAGAAAAATAAAATAAAATAAAAATTTTGAAATTATAAACTACGAATTTTAAATAATGTAAGATGATGCATGGATGTGATAACGTGATAACACTCTTAGCTATTTATATTTTATAATATGATATGCTTCAACCACTTTAACATTGTCTGTGTTTTTTTTAAACGTTAGTCTTTGTTGTCTACAACTATTTGGTGCTATCTATTAGACGCTTACCAATCACAGCAAAGGATTTCAATATTTGTCAGAATGTTTCTATCTTGAATAATTACATCCACCAAAAATGCAGATCTGAAACCAATTGAAGAATCAGTTCTAATAACAGAGGGAAATTGATACGACTTAAAAGGGTTTTGATAATTGCACTTCATTATTTTAACATCAACTCATACGTTCGCGAGTTCTGTATATTAAAATAGTAATCAATTCTTGTGAAAGATCTTTATGTAAAAAAAGTGATATAAATGGGAATGATATATAAGAATCATTTCCTCAATCAATAATAGAAGAAACAAAATAAACATTTTGTAACTAGTTTCAAGAAAAAACATTACATTGTACATGTAAATAAAGACACTAGAGATAATGCTGCGACATTTAAAATCGATTCAATATTCCGAGCAACTAAATTTTATTCGGATAAAATCAACACTAAGATGTAGAAGCAGTTGTGTGAAATGCTACCAAGGAAGCATAGTCACCTCCCATGTTCAGTAATGCTTCATGCTTTCCCTTCTCTGCTATTACCCCATTTTTAACTACTGCAATCAAATCCGCACCCTTAATAGTGGACAACCTATGAGCCACTACAATTGTGGTTCGGTCCACCATAACACGGTCTAGTGCATCCTGAACCACTTTCTCAGACTCAGCATCAAGAGCACTTGTGGCTTCATCTAGTAGTAATATTCTTGGATTCTTCACTATAGCTCTTGCAATTGCCACCCTTTGCTTCTGTCCTCCAGATAGTTGAATCCCTCTCTCCCCTACTACTGTGTCATAGCCCTGCATATATAAAATAATGCTCTCAACTATATTCATATGCTATCTAAATAACTTGTACTAATTCAGAATTTTTAATATACACACCAATTGCAAACTACTAATGAAGTTGTGAGCATTTGCCAGTTCTGCTGCAGCTATAATTTCTGCTTCTGTTGCATCTCCTCCCTTTCCATAAGCAATATTGGCTCTGATGGTGTCATTAAACAGCACAGGCTCTTGGCTCACCAGGCCCATCTGTTGCCTCAGCCATTTCACTTGCATGCTTTTGATTTCTTTTCCATCCAGTGTAATGTGACCTGAGTCTGGATCATAAAATCTTTGTAATAATGAGATCACTGTTGATTTTCCACTTCCACTTTCTCCAACCAGTGCAACTGTCTGTTTATTTTATTAGTGTATAGTTTTGGAAGAACAGTTTAGAGTGTGAAGAAGACAAGATGTGAAAATTAGAAAGTTACCTTGCCGTGGTCAATGGTCAAACAAAGATCTCTGAATATTTGAACATCAGGTCTGGAAGGATACTTGAAACTGACATGGTTAAATTCAATCTCTCCGTTGATTTCTTCCAATGTCAATCCAGATTCATCACTTGGGTCTATTTGTGATTTTCGATCAATAATAGCAAATACGGAAGCAGCAGCACTTTTTGAATTGGTTGAATCAGGGACCAAAGAACCAGGTTGAGAAATTCCCAGAGCTGCCATGCTGAGAGCAAAAAATACCTGGAAATCAGATATCAATATCATCAATACAAGAAAAACAATGCACATGGCCACCCTATCTCAGTGAATAAAAGTGATCGAAATTTTGACTCGGTGAACAAGCTAGGAGAGTAACTTACACGGAAAACATCAGACATTGTAGCTTTTCCATCATCTACAAGTCGAGCTCCAACATAAAAGCTCAATGCATAAACTGCATATAGCATGAAGAATGATACCCCATAACTAACTCCACTAATTATCCCTCGCCTTATGCCTGTCTTAATTGGTCCTTCACATTTTCCCTGGTATAATGCCATCACCTTCTCTTCAGCACAAAAAGAAGCAACTGTTCTTATACTCCCTACAGCATCATTAGCCACTTGACTTGCTTCCTCATACAGTTTCTGTTAGGTAAATAGAATATTAACACTTAACATATAGCTAAGTCAAAAGTGCATGCTTGTCACACTGTTTAACCAATTCAAATAGTAATTTGTTTACTCCTCTTAGTGTGGTGCCAAAATGAACAATGAAATGTACAAAGAAATGGATCTAAATCACTCCACTTCCCCTGAAGTTGAAAACATAGATATTTCCATATTCCTTCACAATTTTAGTTGGTTGCTTGGATGAAGTTTAAAACAAACCTTTGCATCTGCGCTGAATCCTATCAAGAACTTGAATTGCAGGTATCCAGTTAGTGCTAATAGAGGTGCCAAAGCAAGCATTATAAGAGCAAGTTGCCAGCTTGCTTCAAAAGCAATTGCCAAGCCAGCTACTGCTGTAGCAATATTTTGAACCAGCAAACCAAGTGCATCTCCAACCAAAGCTCGAACAGCAGCTGCATCAGAAGAGAGCCTTGCTCCTATTTCTCCGCTTGAATGTCCAGCTTCATCAAACCAACTAACTTCCATGTGAACTACTTTCTCAAAACACATTTTCCGGATCCTTTTGATTAACTTACCACCAGCAACGCCAAAAAGGTATAACCTACATGGAGGCAAGATAAATGATACCATACCAAGTGCAACAAATAGCAGTGCCCAAAGTTTTGAATCTTTACGAAGTTCATCAACTGGCTCATAGAAAATATTTATCATTTTGGAAACAAAGAGTGCAATAATGGGTGTTAATAGTCCACATACTACTGCAACTAAAGTCCCTATCAGTAAGACTGGAATCTCTGGCTTGTTTAAATATGCCAGACGATACAGTGGCACTTCCGGGGGTGAAGAAACTGTTGAAGGAGGAGCTTGAGTTCCTCCACCAGAAGGTTCCAAGAAGCCAACCATTGTGGGCACATCATGTGACTCTGAGAATTGCTTTTGACCAATGCTTCCAACTACAGATGACCTTTCGCTTATAGATTGCAAGAAAGATCTTTGACTTGATTGTCTTCCAGAAGGTACTATACTTTCTAGCTTGTCTAGGTCATGTGAAGCATGTTGTTCTGATCCTTTAATTTCTTGAAGTCTAATGAGCTGGCTATAGGCTCCATTAGGATCATTGGTGAGCTCAGCATGAGAACCTGATCAATTGAAAAATATAACAACACAATAAAGTATATAAACACGTGAGAATTGACTAATTGAGTCATGGAGGAATTAGATTTCTTTTACTGCATGTTATGTCGACCTCTTTCAATTATTTTTCCTTGATGAATAACAGCAATGCTATCAGCATTCCTTATAGTACTTAAGCGGTGGGCTACAATGATAGTTGTTCGATCTATCATTATTCTGTCCAATGCCTCCTGTACAAGTTTCTCAGATTCAGCATCAAGGGCACTAGTAGCTTCATCCAGAAGTAGGATTCTTGGATCTTTCAAAATGGCTCTTGCTATTGCAACTCTTTGCTTTTGACCCCCAGAGAGTTGAGTTCCATGCTCACCAACCATTGTGTCAAGTCCCTAGGTTCATAATTCAAAATTAATTATACAATATTACTGAGGAAGGACCATTTAGTATAACAACAGAAGTGAGAGAAAAAAAAATTCTCAAGTATTGTATACTATGCTGACAAAGATAATCCTGACAAAGGAAGAGAAAAATTCAAACTGTTAAAATGTAATTTACTGTGCATTTTTGACATTTAAATGTAGATTCGAGGTTGACCTGCGGAAGTGTATCTATGAATTTGGCAGCATTCGCTAGTTCTGCTGCAGTTCTGATTTCTTCATCAGTTGCACCATCCTTTCCATAGGCAATATTCTCTTTAATACTGCAAGTAAAGAGAACTGGTTCCTGGCTAACTAGGCCTATTTTCTGTCTGATCCATTTCAGTTGAAATGCTTTGAGGTTGATACTGTCAATGAGAACTTCCCCTGCCTGTGGATCATAAAATCTCTCTATCAAACTAACAACTGTGGACTTCCCACTCCCACTTTCTCCTACCAAAGCTGTGGTGGTGCCACTTGGCATTGAAAGGGAAAATCCATTGAATATCAGTTCATCTGGTCTTGTAGGATAACTAAAGCAAACCTCCCTAAGCTCTATATCTCCGCGAATGTCATCAAGTTGCTGACCAGTGGTGTCATAAGCATCAATTTCTGGTTTCCTCTTAATTGTTTCAAACATCTTAAAGGCAGCAGCTTGTCCAGCAGCAAAAGCACTCAAGCTTGGAGATGCCTGCCCAAGAGACCTAGGATTGGAAATATAGTTAGGTAAGATAATGTAATATCTATTCATATCTTCTGAGTTTTCAGATGGAGGAAGGGAATCAAATTTGGAAATTATAGGCTCACACATTAAGAAAGAGGGACACAACTTACATGGAGCCAGCCGACACAGAAAGAATTACTGTCACAACATCTCCTCCTGTATATCCTTTCTCTATTATCATTTTTGCACCAAACCATATAGCCAAGCCATAACTGCAGGTAAAAACAAAAGAGAGAGAACCAAACGCCAAACCAGAAGCTAGTGCCTCTTGCACTCCAGCCTTGTAAGCTTTGATTAAGGACTGGTTATATTTAGCTATAGCTTTTCTCTCCCCAGTGAATGATGCAACCTATGTTGGATAAATGGAATTCATTTATATATTCTGCACTATCAAAAAGAAAAATGTCAGGAGTTATTTCGTTGTCAGGTACATACAGTTCGGATTGAACCTATTGTCTGCTCTACTGCACTTGCTGCTTTAGAATAAGCTGCTTGTGCCCTGGATGATGCTTTTGCAATAAATAGGCTTATCATAGCGCCACACAGAACAAGAGGTGGAATACAAGATATCATGACAACAGTTAGAAGCCATCCCTTGATGAATGCTATTACAAAACCTCCAACGAAAGTTGCCAGGAACTGTATGAACCGTGCCACCTAAAATGAAAAGAGGAAAAATACCATGAAGAAACAAAGTTTACCTTAAACAAGAAGATGATGATTTAAGACATGTATGGTGGTTCATTAATACCTTCTCACCCATAGCATTTTGAATAAGAACAGTATCACCTGACATCCTTCCAACAACCTCTCCAGTCTTAGTTTCCCTATCAAAGAAGCTGACATCTTGTCTCAAAATTGTTTGAAGGTATAAGCCTCTAATCCTTGCAGCTTGTCTATCCCCAGTGATCATCCAGCAAGTCAACTCTGGTACATATCAAACAAGCTTTTCTTTTGGGTCACAATGAGTCAAACTAATTAGAGTCTATTTGGATACACATTAGAAGTATTTCTGAGATCTTCTCTATTGAAAATAATGATCATTTTTCAGTAGATAAGTTTCCAAAAGCTTTTCTAAGCATGTATCTAAATAGACTTTTAATTATAATTGTAATAACTTATAGATAATCTAATGTACTTACGCAAAAGTGACACAAACAACGTACCCACAGCCAAGTATAGAAGTTTCAGAGACACCTGAACACGGTAATTTATTGTGAAGTGTTAAGTCTGAGAATGCCAAAATTCTAGTATTCCTATAGTAAGCATGTGCCATGCATTTAAAATTTTCAATTAACACTCATATATTACGTAGAGAGTTAGGGATAAGTAGTTTAAGACTATCTAATAATTTCTCTCCTCAAAAAATGTGATAATAATAAATGGGTGATTGCATCCGTACAGTCACTGCTTCTCAGGCTTTACCAATTTCACCTTTCATATTTCACCAATATGGACAAGTATTAGTAAATGGGATTAATGAGGAATTACCTTGGAAACTCCATCAACAACTTCTTTAGAGTTTTTGGATCCTCCAAATGCATTGATCATATTTCCAAATATCAGATTCATTAAGGGCATGGAGACTCCATTCCCGATAGCTCCCACAGTCCCCACAAACATCAATAAATGATCCAAAGGATCAGCAAATGAGAAAAGCTTGTACAAGGGTACTGTTTTGGCAGTTTCATCTTTCGCCTTGCTATTAGAATCTTGCTTGCTGTCAGAACCTCCATTCAAGTCAATATCATCTGCCATTTTCTTGATGAAAGACTTTACGTACCCCTCTACTAATTAGTAATCGCTGTAAACGGAAAACACTTGCAGGAAATGCATTACAGGTTCAAGTTAGTGACATACGACGAGATTATTGTGTTCTATAAAGCGTAACCCCAGTGAAATCTCATCTCTTTTTTTTCCTTCTTGGTTTGTAGTGTGTGCACTGAGTTTGTGAAGAAGATGATACCATTTTTTTTAATGGGGTTCTGAATTCAGACTTAGTGAAACACAAGAAATACTTGAGAGGAAACCATGAGTCAACTTTGACAAAATTTACTTCAGCAGAAGTTAAGCGACGTAAAATGAAAGTTAACAACAACAAACTACATCAAAGCAGTGGGGAGAATCAGTGTTAGAGGGAGTGCCACAGTTAGAATTATGCTTTAGAAGAATAAAATCCGACAAGAAGGATCAAAATGCATTGAAAAGCAAAAGAAGAAGTGAAGAAGCTTTTACAACCAAAGCTGAAGCAGTTTCTACCTTAGCACAAAGATGGAAAACTGGTCGTAGCATGCATCATAACTAAAGTCAGCCAAAGTCTACCCTACGCTGTGTGACTGTGTGAGGAAGGAATCTATAACTGTTAGATATAACCAAAAGGCTTGTATTATAGCATACACATTTATTTAAATAACTTATTAATAAAAAAAATTATATTAAATTATCTTAAAATTTAAAAAGTCTTTTTTAACCCTAAAGTTAGTGAGTTTTTAAAACTAAACTTTTACCGCCGTAGCAGTATTTACTCTGCAAAAGAAGTACGAATTTTGAAATGTCACGTACAATGTGTAGTAACTTTGTAAAGCTTTTATAATTGATTTAGCAACCAAATATTCGGTGACAAAGTATTATATTTTTATTTTGATTACATTTAGGGACTGATTTATTCGGTTGCTAAAATAATATTTGTTTAATAATATTTACATTGGGTCACAAAACTTTTCATAGTAATTTTTTTCTAATTTATATCATATATATAAAGTGATAATCTAATTTGGTTCACACATTTTTTAGGTGATTTTATTTTTAAATTTGTAAATTTATCACTTATTTAATGTACATATTTTTTTAGATGATTTTATTTTTAAATTTTAAAAATAAAAAATAATATTAAAAATTAATTATTCTTACAAGCACAAAACTTGAACATGAGACTTTAAAGTTTGAGGACTAAGCGCAATATTAATTTATCTAACAGATATTGATAACTTTTAAACATTTTTATCAAATAAAATATAAAGACATTAAATGTTTCACCTGACTAATATATAAAAAGCAATAGCCTAATTTGATGTATATATTTTCTAAAAGAATTTGTCCTTAAATTTTTAAATAATAAAAATAATATTTAAAATCAATTATCTTTACAAATTCAAGACTTGAACTCAAGATCTAAAGGTTTGAAGACCAAGCACAACATCAATTGATTTAACAAACATTAATAATTTTTAAATACCTTTATTAAATAAAATATAGAGGTACGGAATGTCTCGACTCCACTATTATATATAATAAAAATTGCTACCGATTTAGCTACTAATTAGTTTTTAATTTATTGATGTATACATTTTTTAAACGATTTTACCCTTTAATTTTTAAATAATAAAAAATTTATAAAAAATTAATTACCTTTACATACACAAGACTCAAACCTCAGACCTTGAAATTTGAGGATCAAAAGTAGCACTAGTTGATCTAATAAACATTGAAAACTTTTAAATACTTTTATTAAATAAAATATAAAGACATGAAGTGTCTCAACCTCACTAGTATATATAAAGGCAATAGCCTGATTTGTTTTAAATATTTGACCACAAACCGATTGCTAATTATGACTGATGGCATTTGATTGCAAAATCCGATTGGTAATACATGATTTTTTTGTAGTATTTTCTTATAATTTCTAATATGCAATTTTTGTCGCTTTTTTTCTAATTACACAATTTTGGTCTATGAAAAATAATGTGACATTAATGTTAACTTAGACTATGATGTGTCACTTTGATGATAAAGTGGCAACTAACATGAATTCATGAAGTGTAGAGGTGTTAAAATGAGTCTAACTCAAAGCGAATTGAATCTGCTCAAAGCGATTGGAATTCACTCAGAGCACCCAAAATTTGGGCTGAGCGAGCCAAGTCAAAGAATACCTCTGAAATGGTCGCACCAACTCATCCTAAGTAAGTAAGTTCTTGCTCTAAGCCACCAAAATTCACTCTAAGGGTCCACATTTAACGTTCTAAGTGAGCCAAGTTAAAGAGCATTTATGAAATGATCTCACTTACCCAATTAAGCAACCCCATGGGCGCTTTAAGTGAGCAAGCCCAAAAAAGATGCATGAAATCAAGAATAATTAAACAACTTAAGAAACATCCTAAGAAATTGTAGCATACAACAACAAGGCTTCACAAATTCGACAATTCTCTTTTTCCTCATCAAGAACACCAAGAACAAAAGAACATCATGGATTCTACTTCAATTTCAACTTAAAACACTTTCCAAAACATGAATCAACATGATAGAATCAACATTTTCAACATGTATGATCAAACTACAAGCTTCTCTTATCTCGAATCACCAAGAACATGATAAAAGAAGGAAGAAAGCCTGAAAATGTTGAGTTCTCGTACAACAACTTCTCACTCTGATACTTAGCTTCAAAAGCTTTGAATCACAACACAACTTCTCAATCTAACTTTGGAGAAGGATCTATAATGCTCTTGTAGAATCAAAAGAAGAAAGTAATTCTACCTTCAAAACTCCTGTCTTTAACTTTTCTCTAACTTTCTTCAGAGAATAAATTTATGAAGTTACGTCTTAAGAAAAACCCTATATACCTTCCTTTAAACTTAGTTAACTTTAATTTCAACTCAAAAAAACATAAATAACTAAACTCATAAAAATTTCCTAATTCTTAAAGTTTTTAAAACAATTAAACAATCCAATTAATAATCAATCCAATTAATAATATCAACAAACACTAATAAAATTCATAAATGTTACATATACCACGCTAGTAGGTAAATGATAAGTGAAAAGTGAAATAGAAACATTAGAGTGAGGATGAGAATAGGATATAGATGTCAATGAGTAAGTCAAGTAGAAAAAAAATTATAAATTAAATATTTTAAAAAGAATTTAAAAGTGATTTTATATTTAAAAAATAATAGTTCTATACAATTCCTCATCGGTGGACCATTTGATGAAGTTGTCCAAGGTAACAATAGTATCTAAAACTAATGTAACAAGTTCCAACTTGGATAGAGTTATAAGGTTTTTAGTGATTTGGAAAGAGGAACATATGGTTGGAGTGGTAATGAGACAGTGAGTTTGAATTCCCTCCCTAACATAATAACTAACATTAGTTAAATATCTTAATAAATAAATTAAAATTAAATCAGCAAATTTCTTCGTCATTAAGTTAAATAAATTATATCCCAAAGTTATATTTTAGCTGTCTAGACTGAATGAATTGATTTTTTTAATTTTTTATATTTTGGTATTTACCAAAAGAAATTGATTTTTTTTATTTGAATGAATCAATTGATTTGTATTGTGGTAAAATTATGACTACTTTATTAAAAAAAATAAAAGTAAATGACTCGTCATCAATCGACATCCCTGTGAGTCATGACTAAAGATTTTTATCATTTTCTTATATGTAAATCACTGTCAAATTTGATTTACCATGTGTGGCTCCAATTACTTTAACGTTGTATTTGTTGTCTTATTATCTACGTCTATTTCGTGTTATCTGTTAGGCCCTTACCATTCACAATAAGGATTTCAATTAGTTGATTGTGACTCTCTGGTGAATATATTTTAGGGTTTATATATCTGTTAGGCCTAATTTTGGTGTATCGTCTATATTGTGTATGTTGTTTTTGTTTGTATACTCTTTATATTTGGTTTGTTTTTTTTAGTATAATAGATTTGAATTCTATAATCTTCTTCATTAGTATTTGTACCGGAAGGTCCCTATCGGTCACGTTGACCAACAGCCGATATTGCCCTGTTAATCTTTTGTAATTCCGGGCCGTTAGAGCCCTTATGTCTTTTTCAATGCAATTTATTGCTTTTATCAAAGTGTTTCTGAGCGAACATCGATATAACAAATTTGACGAACGTAATTTAATTTATATGGATTTAACGCGTGGAAGGCTTGAAATAGTCATATCCTTAACCGAGAGGATTTCTCGGGAGGGAAGGCTTGTAGAAGTCACGTCCTTGGCCGAGAGGCGTCTTGGGAGGAGAGATGTAATTAGGAAGTCACATCCTTGACCGAGAGACATCTTGGGAGGGAAGACTTGTAATTTGAAATAAAAGCCACATCCTTGGCCGAGAGACATCTCGGGAGGGAAGACTTGTAAATTGAAGTCACATCCTTGACCGAGAGACATCTCGGGAGGGAAGACTTGTAATTTGAAATAAAACCCACATCCTTGGCCGAGAGACATCTCAGGAGGGAAGGCTTGAAGTCACATCCTTGGACGAGAGACATCTCGGTTGGGAAGACTTGTAAATTGAAGTCACATCCTTGGCCGAGAGACATCTCGGGAGGGAAGACTTGTAATTTGAAATAAAAGCCACATCCTTGGCCGAGAGACATCTCGGGAGGGAAGGCTTGTAAATTGAAGTCACATCCTTGGCTGAGAGACATCTCGGGAGGGAAGACTTGTAAATTTTGCGGAAATATAAAACAAGTCATAGATATCTGAATTGTATTGTTATTGATGAATGGATGCCTCGTTAAAAACCTTGCCGGCCAAAACCTCTTTTCACAATTTTTTATGAGGAGAAAAGACCGGTTCAAGGAAAAGAGTGCATCCTAAGACATTTACACATGTATATGAAACGAAATCCTAGCTGTAATAAGTCTTCAAGTGGGTAGAATTCCATCTCCGAGGGATGACCTAGCCGGACAGTTCTTCTAATTTGTACGAGCCGTTATTGAGAGAGTGTCGGACTCTGAATGGGCCGTCCCAGTTTGCCGCTAGCTTCCCCTCAAGATCGCCAAACAAGATCCGGTTGACCTCCAAACAAGATCGCCTTCTTGAAAATTTCTTGGTTTTAACTTGGAGTTAAATCGCCGAGTCATTCGTTGTTTACATGCTTCAGCTGTGACTTGGGATTTCCCTCGGACTTCCTCTACGACATCTAGTTCGGCTCGGATTGCGCCGTCGTTGGACTCCTCGTGAAAGTGTGTTCGTCGGAATGAAGGTTCGCCGACTTCGACTGGAATCATAGCGTCCGTGCCGTATGCCAACTGGAACAGAGTCTCCTTTGTGCTTGATTGGGGCGTGCACCTGTACGCCTAAAGAACTTCAGGAAGCTCTTCGGCCCATGCTCCTTTAGCCGTGCCAAGCCGTTTCTTCAACTCGGTGAGGACAACCTTGTTAGCAGCTTCGGCTTGACCATTGGACTGTGGGTGTTCGACGGACGTGAACCGGTGTTGAATGCCAAGGTTTTCAAGAAAGTTGTTGAATTTCTTATCTGTGAATTGAAGCCAATTGTCGGAAATGATTGCATATGGGATGCCGAACCGGGTGATAATG